ATCTCATTCCCTGTCAAGTTTCTGCACGAGGTTCGGGTCCTGCGAAAACACTCTCCTCTCTCCTCATGGGGTGCTTCTGATTGAATATGCACTGTACATCACTGTAATTTGTCATGCAGTTTAATGCCTGATTTAATCACTGTTAGAATGCTGCATTTTTCTCTTTGCAATATATATTTATGATTGCATATACCTGACTTTGAAGCACTGCATTTTCTTTGTGATGGATTTGTTCAGCTGTATCCAGGGTGAAATGATAGAAGCCCTTGCTTTGCTTAAATGATTTCTTATATTCATACTGAAACAAAAAATATCCAAGAATGTTTTCACAAACAAAATCCAGAAGGTTTTGCAATTTAAATACCATTTAAAATAACTATGGGAGAAACTGCATAAAAGAAACTATATTTTAGGCCTCCTAACCCAGGAGTTCTACTGCTAAATTTGAATTTAAAATATTGTGATGAAATGAAAAAAGGATATGATAAAAAATAACTTATGTTAGTTCCTAGAGAAAATGCTTGCCCTGCTCATCGAAAAGTCAAATGTTTATGTGTGCTAGAAAATAACCGTTATTATTTACATTTGAAGTGCAAAGGAACACATATGATGGTCTGGGTTTGCCTCCTAGTGGAAATAATTATAAATGTCACAATAAAATCACTTCTGTAGTGGAAACAAAAATTACCTCCAGCTACAGATACACACTTCATACACTTTTACTCCATTCCTCAACTAATGGAACAAAATTTAAAAAAAAAAATAATTCTATAAGATCAAATGAAGTAAATAGTGCAACCTTTCGCTACACTAAACTACAGACACCAGACTCAGTCTCTCAAGTTCTATTTATTCACCCTGTTCCACGAAATGAAACACATCTAGGTTCCTTTTTTTTAGCCTGTAGTTCATTAGCATCTCAAAGTCTCTACAATAGGAACAGATTTAAAATATGCAAAACAATAAACTAGCTGTTGTACATATATCAAAGGTTTAAATTTTATGCCTCTGTAGTTCATGACAAAGAGATCTACATGTACACCACCGAAACCAGGACAACCATATGAGGAGAAAGTTCCACCTTGTGAACTCTCTTCCTCATCAAAATTAAGAAAATAGGATACATTTGACCTGTCAGAATCAGTCTATTTGTGTCCAAACATGTCCGTCAAGCTTTCCTCTTAAGTGCTGGAATTTATTCCGATGGAAGCTGACTTGTGTAACAGTTTTGCATTGGTATTATAGTGTATGTGTTACATAAAGTTGCACACACTTCTATGCTTGAGGTCAATCAGCAAATCAGGTCAATCAACCATATTAGTTTAGTAGTTTAATTAACCATACAGGTTACAATGTATCACACAGGGGCAGGTGTAGCTATGTTATGCAAAAGATGAAGAGAAGCGTGATGTTCAAGGGAGAAAGGTATACCACAGGGAAACAGCCACACTGGGCAATTAGCAAGAGTCTCTGTGTTTCAGAGGGAAAAAAAACCAGACCATGCAATCATTCTTTGGAAATCAGTTAATGGCACAGTCAGGAAGATTGTTTCATACAGTGGAAGCAGACTTCAATATTTGGTATGAGCTGTGGAGAGATGAGAACACAAAGAAGGTATTGGAAAAGCATGGCAAAAGGTAGGAGAGTAAGCCATGTTAAAATCAAAGAGATGACATGGGGAGGTCAAATCTGAGAAGGATTTTGAAAATGGGATTTCTGTAGAAGACAAATAGCTAGTGGAGACCTTAGGGATTGACGAAGCATTCTTCTTCCTGCTCACAGCAAGAAAAAATATCCACCAGCATCTGGACAATGCAAAAATCAGCGATTTAGTATTTATGGAGTCCTCAGAAGAGGGCACAGACAATATGAATCAACCTTCCTGGGCAACAGAAAGAAATAAATTTTGCAAGAAGTGAGCTGCCTTAAGGGAAAGTCCAGGTTTCTATCCCATTAGAGATAAGGTGAACAAATTGACGAAGTTCATTCTGAGGGTGGTCGTTTAATCAGCAAAAAGAATGCCAACCTTACCTTACACTGAAGGAAACTAGAATTAGGCCAAAATGCACACGCAGAATGCAGGAAGCGAAAGCTATCAGCTCATTTATTACCCATACAAAAGGGGATGGTCAGTGTTAGCTTCACATATCGGAGTGAGACAGATAAAAAGCAAGGTTCAATTCACCAAAGAGCAACACAAAAATCAAGTACAGACAGGAAGGCTGGATTATTTTGATTATTTTAGACAAAAGCTTCCATAAGCAGCCACTGACTCAGAAGATGACCCAGTATGCTCCTAGTCTTTATGGCTAACCCTTTGTGTGTGAAGCGCTCGCCTCCTGCCGGCCATGAGCAATCTTCCTTCCCAACACCACCCGCTCACACCTTTCCACAGCAGTTCTGCAACTCTTCTGTGGTTTCTGGAGTAAAGACAACAAATGCAGCTAACCAGCTACACTGCGCATGTAGCATAGGTGCTCTTGGAGTGGGAGAGAAGCTTCAGCATCGCACAGAAGCCAGTGGTTTCCTAACTCTTCCTCCCCATTTCAACTCCCATCACTATCCTATGTCAGACCACCAGCCCCATCAAGGGGCATGTCTTGTTATGTGGCAGAATGGAATATGTGCCTATTACCTGACCCAGTGTAGGAAGCCTCTGACACTGATGAGGGAAAAAACGCTTTGACAGAGAAGCTCTAAAGGAAGCTAGCATTTGAGAGGCTGTTGATGGCAGAAGTCCAAATATTAAACTAGCGTAATGGTCACTTCTGTACAGAGACTTGCAGATGAAAGCAATAAGTAAGATCTTAGGCAAAATGAGATTTGCAAGGAAAGAGGTATCTTAGATCAACAAAGGAAAAAACAGACAAGGTTTCAAACATGTAAGAAGAAATGCTCGAGTACCAGAAGTCTGTGGGACTCTTACCCAGTATATTAGTCGTTCTAATAACTGAAACAGCTCTCCCTAAAAGCCCTTTTTTCTTCACTACATCCCCCAACTATCATGGTTACAACACTACAGCCACAACACTACATATGAGGCCATGAAGCAAGTACCAAAAATTTATGTATTCTACAGTGACTATACATACTACATTCTTTACTACATATATTTTTCAGATGATTCTTATAAAGGCAACTTACACCGCTATGCGTTTTGCTGATATTTAAAGCATGGTTTAAATATAGCAGGTTTGGTAGATCAGAGGCTGGATCATGTAGGCTTTCCAAATCTTTCTTGTAATTCACCTGGAAAGAGAATTCAGGTTATGTAAAATAAAGATTAGCAAAATAATTCACAGCTTCGTATTACAGTGTGGCCATCCAGAAACAGGAAGCATTAAGTACTTGCCTGAACAATCTCTACCTGCCACTAGATGGTGGTCATTTACTATTATTTGGAGGGAAAGGAACAATCAATAAAGGATTCATTCTACTGAGCAAATATTTGGGAACTACTCAAACTTTTCCTCAGAAAGGACACTTACAACAAAATCACACTTTGTATGACTTTTCAGGCCAGAAAGGAATCATTATTATTTCTTTTTATTCTTTTTTTACCCCCCAGAAAACTTAAATCAAAAGCATCTTCTGCAACACTTTGAGTTTACTCATTTTAAACACTGTTGATTCTTGTTCTTTTTCTCTTGATTCAGGAGTTACACTAACTGTCCAAATAAAAAAATTGTATATAGAACAGTCAAAGGGAAGTGTTCCTGGATATTTTATTTAATGCAGACTGCTTTCAGTAAAGATAAGCAATATAGTCACCTAAGACAAAAGATAATCACTTCATGGCAGAAGATAACTTCCTATCAGCCTACAGTAGGATTTTCCATACTTCTGGTAGCTAGATGTCCATTTTTACAGGAAGCATTTTACAGGAAGAAGACTAGCAACTTTACCTATCTTGGATGACAAATATTTTAAACTAATACCTTTAGTCACCTCCACATATGTATCCTGTTCTTCAGTGATTTAGGCATACTTCAAATCAACAATACTCAATTTGCATATCTCATAATAATAATTACTTCAATGAATTTTTTACTAAAGATTTATATTTTGAAAACAATTACATATTCTGTTGGACCCTTCCCAGAGGGTCCTGTTCCTGTTGGGTGGTGCCCCACACTTTGGAAATGCCAGACTACAGAATGAAGGCTTGTCTCTGGGCTATCTGGGATCACAGCCTCAAAGAAGAGCTCACATTTTTAGCACTGGACATCCTGTTAAATATATCATCCCAGCAGCATTATCAGTCAGTATAGATGTTTTCTGCAATCTGGCTCCAGCAGCAGGCACTCATTGCTGAATGTAGTGACTGCTGTACTTTGTAATACCATTTAGATGATCAGCCAGCAGAATGAAGTCTAAAAGATAGACATCCAAATCTGAGCTGCTCATGCAACCTCCTTCTACAATCGCTGGAGAGATGCCAGCACTTTGCTCCTCTAAAGACAGGCATCTACAACAGCTCAGAAGAACTGCCCTCTAGACCCATTTATTTCTTTTCCAAATACAAAGGGACCAAATACAAGGCAATTAGCTCAGAGTAAGCAGTCATACCTTTTGACACACAAAGTTAAGCGAGATGAATCTCATCTAAAATGGTTATGAAAAACTCTGCAGGTCCTTGGAGAAGGACTTTGTCAGAAGCAAAGGAAGAAATGGATAACATGCGGTACCTGCTATACAGACCGTGCTGGTATAGTGCTGTGTTTTGGATTTAGTATGAGAATAAGGTTGATAACACACTGGAAGTTTTAGTTGTTGCTAAGTAGTGTTTATACTAGTCAAGGACTTTTCAGCTTCCCATGCTCTGCCAGGTGCACAACAAACTGGGAGGGGGCACAGCCAGGACAGCTGATCCAAACTGCCCAAAGGGCTATTCCATACCATATGACGTCATGCTCAGTATAGAAACTGGGGGCAGTTGGCTAGGGGGCAGCGATTGCTGCTCTGGGACTGGCTGGGCATCGAGCAGCAGGTGGTGAGCAATTGCACTGTGCATCACTTGGTTTGTATATTCTTTTAGCATTATTATTATTATTATTTCCTCTTCCTCTGCTGTCCTATTAAACTGCCTTTATCTCAACCCTCAGGTTTTACTTTTTTTTTTCCTATTCTCTCCCCCATCCCACCAGGGAGTGGGGGCGGGCAGGGTGAGTGAGCAGCTGTGTAATGCATAGTTGCTGACTGGGGTTAAACCACAACACAGACACACTGTATATATATATTACTCTGCTGCTCAGAGTAATCGTAAGATGGAAAAAGAAATTCTGCTTGAGAACAAATGTTAGGTTATTCAGGATGTAAATGCATGTAAAATACAAAGCAAATTCACTTACATCACTTGCCAAGGTGGATGCAATCTGTGCTTGCTTGAAGGAAGCACTGTCAAGAGGATTGTACTGGTGGCTCTTCATTTCCTTACTGAACTGCTCTTTGTATTTCACCTTCCACCAGAACAAACATATCTAATATTAACATGTAGCACTTAAAGAAGGCACAGACAATTCAGACTACAAAGGAGCTTATTAAAGGCAATTGCCTTATCCCTAAATCTTTAAACAATGAAGATGTTTAAAGAAGCTCAGTTTAGCCACACCTGTGACTGTCTTGTGCTGGTTTCAAAGTAATTTTTATGTACCTGAATTTTACTAAAATAAAAAAATAATTTTAAGATTGTCATATGCAATTACTGGTGCTGAAGCATTTATAAAAAGGAAACAAACAAAACCATATGATTCACCTGTGTAATCAAATAAACCAGAACTGTTTGACTAGCAATAATAATCTACTAGCTGAGAATCATTCAATTCATAATTAACATCAAAAACATGTTTTTAACAAAAAATCAATTTATAAGATGAACAAATTGTAGAAATTGTAAAACAAATCACTTTCAAATTTTTCAACCACTTGAAAGTGAGAAGTCAGAATCAAACTTCCCACTCGGCCGTCTATCCCACCTCCAGGTCCATGTGTCATTCGCACTGTGCTAGGCTGTCACCAGAGCCCCCAGGTCTATTTTTAATTCTGCCAGAAATTTCCCAGGAGACCCTGAGGAATCTCTCTGTAGCACAGTCCCTTCTTGGGGACAATGCCCACATCATTACAATGTTAGAAAGCATAATTAAATGACTGTCTGCTATCACTTTCCCTCTCTTTTCTTCTTGTTCAAAAGAAAAAGGGGGGAATGACGAGACATGTAAGAGGAAATGAGCAATACACAAATGTTGAGGCAATGGCATTAAAAGTAAATAAATCACAAAAATTCCATAAAACATGCTGAAGAACTGAATTCAGAATCTGAAAATATGAAATCGAGCAAATAGTAAATCTCCCTCCTTTGCCCCCCTTGTTGTGCATGATCATCAAACATCTGGAGACTTTGCATACATGCCTTGCTTCTTTCCAACAGCTGGGCATAATGGAGGAGAATAAGGTTCAGTCTGAATTATGCTGCTTTCATGAATGTTAGTCAGACACCTGATATTTGAGCCTATGCAACATCCATTATAATTTACCACGCTCTGCATTAAATAAATACGTGTCTTTCTCCTTACTCCTTTTTTTTCTATTCCCACATGAATGTCTGATAAAGTGGTTAAACCACCTCAAACAATCTCCTTCAAAAATTATTTTTTTCTCAGCTTTAGTTGTGGGAAGAATTTTCTTTTTCCTTTTTTAGTTCTTCCTTGCCTCAAGAGACTCTCAACATGGTTTAGCTTATACAACCTCGTTATGTTTAGCCATGATGCCCAAAATTTCATTAATCTGGATAACAGGAAACCAAAACTAAGCCACCCAAACAGAACCTAACCGTATGTGTGCAAGAACTACGTTATGATTCCAGCACTTATGTTAATTTTTCAAAGGAAGGAAATTCTAAAACATCGTTACTTTTAAAGAGAAACTTTATCTGAACACATGATGAACTTCATAATCTTTCACACTAACTCTAGAAAAGAATATCTATTGCCTTCTGGTAGATTCATCTGTTTCATATTGTTTGATATTTGCCTTGGCTTTGGATCAAGTGCAAAAGCATATATCTGAACACAAAGACACTGCCTTTGTCAAAGGCAAATCCACATTCTGTACGAGCAGTGAAGGAATAAATCAGAGGGGTTTTCTCTTTTAAAAGGTGTATCCAAAACTTGCCTTCTAATAAAAAACAGGCAGAGCTGGAATATGTGATTCAAAACGCCTCCAAAACCAGGGATCTAGTCAGCATGGTGAGCCACATTGTCTTTTAGTCCTTGGGCATCAGCTCACATCATAACAACATTGTGCACAAGAGTTTAAATATCCGACTACTGCAGGCTGTCTTCTGCCCAGCCAACAAATGGCTTCAAACTGTGCACATGGACCAAACGCACAACACGGTCCTTGATATTTTTGTTAAGTGTGAAAATGCCAGTGCCAAAGGGACCTCTCCTCACAACTGGCTTGCCATCTTCCAGCTGCAGCCATTTCATGCCATTTTTAAAGATTTTTTTAGCAATACATTTCAATCTAGAAATTCCAGTAATAAATCGTCATTAGTGTCACTTCAGATCACATCACTGCTACTGAAGGGAAGAGGGGGAGCCAGTGAACCCAGCCTTCACAGGGCTGTGTATCCTGATGCCGAAGTGCAGGAGGGTCCCAAATTTACAGAGACTGCCCACTAATCCAGCTGTAAACGTTCCCGTTGCAGTGAGGGAAGTCTCCGTACCTCTAGGCCCTGCTGCCTCGTCTGGCTGCTCTGCTTACTGCCTTCGCTCTCCTCCCCAACACCACCACACATGTCGCTCTGGGGCAAAATGGAGGCCACACAATAATATCAGATGACCCTGGCAGTATCTCAAGAGCACCTCCAGCAGTAATTTAACTCTGACTTGTCATAGGGGATTCATCTCATTGAAAGCAACACACGCATTCACTTTCTCTTTTATCGGTATTTTCCTGTTTCCTTCTCCCTTTTGAAAGCAAGTGTGGGATGGGAGAGGGAGAAGAGAGAAGAGCAAGCCCATGGATGAGTCACTGTGAAGTAACACGCACGGTATTTATCCTTCTTTTGAACAGGAGAAAGTTATGAATGCAGTTTAAAGGGGAAAAATACTCCTGAGGTAAAGAGTTCTGATTAAAAACAAGGAAGAAAAATACTTCATCAGTGTCCTCTAAAACTTCTGAAGGGGGGAGGTCTTAGCAATGCTATAACATGGTAGAAAAGCAAACAAAGAGTAGAAATGACAGTTGTTAGTGGAAGCTTATCTACAAATTTCATCGTTAACCAAAAGCTTTACTTTAACAAGGGTTTAAAATGATGACTATTTATTTACCATCTTAATTAAAGTCTTAAGCTTGTTTATTTTTTTAGAGAGTATGTAGTGGGGGGTTAATTTAAAAGAAATGCTTGTAGGCTGCTCTCTAATTGCTGCTGAAGAAAGAGCAGACTTTGCAGGCTTTTAACACAACAACATCCCTGAAAAACCAAACTGGAATTAAATAAAGCCTGGATAAACAAACTTCTCATCGGCCTTGCACAAAACCTATAAAAGTCAGAACTGCAGCTGGACAGAGCAGTGTCTTTTGAAGCTTTGCAGCAACATTCCTAAATCAAATCTGCAGTTCAAAGCTGTTCACACAGGGAGTGTTCAGTTTCAGAAGTGGATGACATCACCCACTGTTCAGATTTACAAAGAAACTACAAAAATTGAATCCTTCAACCACTGGGATCCCAGGATGCAGCAGACACTTGCAGCTAAAGCATTTCCTCATGACTGTATGAAAACATGTTTAAAAAAAATGAAAAACCCGTCAGAGCACATACATATTGAAGGAAACGAAACATAAACAAAGAGCTAAATTAAAATATTGGTCACTAAAAGCACTAGCAGAGTTTAAAGCAAAGAACGACTGAGAAAATCCTAGGCTCTTTGTGTTGTTACTGATAATCTCAGAGAAAAAACATTTTGAAAAACATTCTACCTCTAACAATTTTATCCCTGAAACAATAAGCACCAGATCCAGCATAAAATACAAATATCCAAAATTATTCATCATAAAACCAATTATTCAACACCATAAGGGGAATACTTCATATCAGCAGCTCTTTGAAAAAGCTAATAAAATGCATTAGAAGACATAAAGAAGACACAAACAAGAGCTTGTTTTTATAAAAAACACAAAAAGTAACCCAAATTATACAATGTACATTCAGCAAATTGACAAGCTTCATGTTTTCACAAGGGCTAACACAGTTTCTGTTTTAAATTTGGTTTAAAATCAACAGAAAGGGGTACCACGTGCTGTGGGTAAATATACTAGTCCTGGGAGCTATTATTTTTGCTGCTGCTGTTGTCAAAAGCTTTGTTAATTTTTTAAAAAAGAAGAAAAAAAAGGAGGAGGGGGTACACTGATTTTGTAGAGCCTTGCACGCCAGTCAAACATTAACACTATTTTCTTCACTTTGTTTGCCTTCCTGCTTGCCTTGATTGCTTTCTCCCTTCGTTACACCCACACTGCCTGACCTCTTCTTGCTCCTGTTCTCTATACTCCCTAAATTACCTACCCATATGCACCACATTAAAACATGTTATCATCTTCTCTTCCCATTACATCCATCAGAGTTGTCAACTTTGCAAATTTGCTGTGAGGGTCAAATAACTAATATTTCTCTGCATGTCGCAGCTTATAGATTCATGCTATTAAGGGAGATTATCAACTTTCAGCACAAAAAGTTTATAATGCTCCCATCTGCTGAGAAACGAATGGAAACCCTAAAAGCCAGAAAGTCTGGAGACAAAACAGAAATCATTAACTTTACTATTTTTTCAATCTTGTAATTGTTACAAGCCTGCTTCACGATCCTTGCATGAAGAGGACTGACATGACTGACCCACACTGAGGGCTCTTCCTCTCCTACAGCACAGGTGCATTCCTCATCCTGCCCCACCACCCTGCTCTTTGGACACAGAGGTCATCTTCATTTTTCTGTGCTCTTGATTTATGATCAGTGTGTCTAAGTGTTATGATGATTCAAATAATATATAAAAACATTAGACAACTCATGGCCACCGCCTTTCGTTCAGAGGAGGTGGGGAATTGATGAGTGCACCTCCCCAGTGCTGAAAGCAGCCTGGTATTTACAGCCTCCATGCTGCCGTACACAGATGGCTGGCAGAGGAGTGTCAGGCTGAAGCACTGCCTCCCTTTCTAGAAGTACATGGCCCATCACACATACTGCAAGCAGCCACAACAGCGTAGACTGAGGAGAGGACATGAGAAGGAAAAACCCAAAACCTGGATCCAGGCCCAGCGGCTGCAGAGTTTGGACCACCAAGGTTTAGTAAGAATCTTCTTTACAAATAAACTGTAAGCAAGCTACATTTTGTCAACTGCCCTTCTCTTCCTGCCACACCTTCTGCACTATTTCGACTCCCTAAAGAAGTTAAAATTGCACAAATTGCTCTCTTCTGCAGAAGGATCTCAACTGGAACCGCTGCCATTCCAGTCCCTGGCAGTGAAGAGACTCTTTTATCAAGCTTTTGCAGATGCAGCATGCATTGTCCAAGGGGAAAAGCACATCTAACAAAAATGAGATTAAAAGTTCATTGATGAAGCCTATGATGCAGCTGGCTCAGCACCAGTCTGCAGGACCCCATGATCCAGCTGGTAGTTTTTGATTATTGCGATTGTTGGCCACGACCTCAGGGGTACCAAGCTTAGGGAGATGGAGCGGGCTATTGGAAAGGGATCTGCTTTGGTCCCATTTGTGACAACAGGCAGCTGCAAGCCCACTAGATTCTGAAATAGGCTGCAAGAAAGAGAGCGTCTAGAAAGCCACTGAGTAGAAACAAAGGATACCACACACTAAATTTAGGTATGAACCCTTTTAAAAATCACTAAAGATGTTTGCTAAATGACAGACAGCTCCTTTTCATATAAGTGACAGCAGCATAGCTCTAGCTCTTCCTAGAAAGCACAGGTTGACTTCCAAGCCTGCAGGATGCTAAACACAAAAGAATCTCTTATCACACTTGCCCATCGGCAGAGGAATGAGCACATGATCCATTACAAAATGGAAGAAAGAAATCTATCTGGAAAACACAAACTAATTTTGATTCTGAACACATCATTAACAAAGCAGTAAAAAAACATGTATTTTCTTCTTTTTTCCCTCTGTGCAGTATTCATGCTTCAAAGTTAATGATGGTCCAGTGTGAAACAGGAAATCATGTAGCAGATATCTAAGGACAACGTTTGGTGAGCAAAAGGAGCTCAACCTCTGGCAAGCGGATGCTACACTGTTATGCAGCTTGTTCTCTATGACACGTTATTCTCATTTGATCCTAGTTCTAGGGAAGATGTTTACTCTCTAGCCAAATCACAAGTATTTGTTACATAACACTGATTTTAAGAATGTTCTAGTGTATACACGACTACACTTGGGGGTTTTTTCTAGTTCTGGGAAGTCTGACACGACCTTCTCCAATCAAAGGACATTATCCTCCTCCTACAGGAGGGCAGAATTTGTTCCTGGGTTTACAAAAGCTCTAAGTGTAGCCTGACAGGATTACTAGCGAGGATTATGCAAGGCACTGTTAAAGAACTAGTCCAGAAAAAAGGAAAAAAAAAAAAGGAAAAAAAAAAAAAAAA